TTATTTGAGGTCGTCATGTTAGGAGACTCACCCTGTATAATATGAAGAGGTAAAGATCGGAGACAGGATATAAAAACGAAGATCGGTAAGTATAACGTTAAAATTTATTTTATACGAGCATGTGTATGCGAAAAAACCTAGAGAAATGATCACCCATGTAACATATTTCCAATACTGTTAATTGGGTTAATGTTTTTGATCACGTTCGCTACAGACGATATTAGATTATCTGGTTTGCAGTCGCTCGTTGCTACCAAGTGCTCTTCAATCAATTTCGCTAAATGTTGATCGCTCTCGCTGAGCAGCCGAGGATGCATCGTGTTCTTATCATCGATGTCCAGTTGCGCGCCATCTGTTCCCGACGCTTGCCATACAGCTCCGTTAATGGGTTCGTTGTTCGGCGTAGGGTTGCTGAAAAGTGCGTATACACGTGTATTCGATGAGTGCACAGTATGTATACTCTATTTCCCGAGTGACTAGGAGTCGGCACGGTTCAGTTTTCTGTCGTTCTGCGCATCTCCCACCCATATTTACCACTTCCCAATAGAAGCGTGTCCTTATTGTCCTACCGTGTATAATGAACCGTGGTTGGTGAGGCGGCGATTAACCAGCGTGGAGGTATTTTTTCCCTCGAGGCTCGCTTCCCCTGTTTTTCGCCCGTATTTCGATCCCCACTACTATTCCCCTCATGCGTGCTCATGCGCGTTCACGAAGCTCTCCGCAGCGCTACCGTGAAAATCACTGCATACCCCCACCAACTATTGGTCCCCACCATGTTCGCGTCGTCCCCACTTTCCGGCCGAGGGAAAAAATACCTCCACGCTGCGATTCACGCATGGTGGATGGTCCGAGGCGTTCATTGCGGCCCCCACCACCTTTCAAGCTGCGCGGAAGGCTCCTAGTCACTCGGGAAATAGAGTATAGATGTCAATCGATTCGCAGTGATCATCGTCCGTTTCAGGTCTGTTTCATCAGGCTATCCTCGAAAGCGGCACTGCTATCTGCCCGTGGGCGTACAACACTCGAAACAGGATCAAGGCGAGCGCCTTCGCGTTAGCTGC